CTACCTGTCTGGTCACACACGGCAGCTTCAAACACACAAACAAGAAAGATCTGAGCTTCTGTGGTTTTAGTTCTTGAGCAGACCTGATCCAGAGCAGCTCATCAAATGTGCACCCTGCATAAGAACCTCCTTACACGAGACAGCTCCTATCTGAGCAGAATGCTCCTTTTCCTTTTACAAACTACTCCTCCATGTTCTCGTGCACAAAAAAACGTTTCACATGCACAAGCACAAACACAAAAAGACACAAAGGCAATTAATCCGGACCTGAACCTCTACTTTGGTGCATCTCAGGCGCCACAACCCCCTCCTGGGCTCCACGAGGTGAAGATCTGGGGTGTGAGGGGTAGTTATCAAGCTAAACGTGAATGTGTGTGCATGTGCAAAGGTTTGTGCACGTGGGGGCAGGAGGTCTGAGCTTTTAACTCTTCAGTAAGGAGTTTCTCTGCTGCCATTCTAGTTCCAGCGTGCAGTTTTCTTGCAGCTGCCTTTTGTCTGTTGTATTTCATATTTGTCTAGAAAGCCTTTCAGTAATGATCACGCAGGACATGACTCTTCATCCCTTCATTGTGTTTTACAGCTGCGTGTTTAACAGTAATCAGCCGGCGGAGCGAAGACGCTGGACCAGAGGTTGAACTGAACAAGCCTGAATAAAAGGCCTCTCAGAGTAGCCGACATAAATAAAGCATCTCTCTCAATCCGGAATTTGACAGCTCTCAGTTTTTATATGGGCCACGGCGGCCCTGGAGGATTTTACAGCAGTGTACATAAAATAAAAAGAGCATTTAGATTTCCTTTGTTGTGGCGTGGAGCGGGGACAAAGCAGAGGCGGCTACAGGTCCCTCTCCGCCCTGCCTGCCCTCTGAAATCCACACGGCAGAAAGAAACTCTCTGATCACATCTCACCAAAACAGAGGATTTAACTCTCAAACTGATCCTGCACGTCTGAACGTTTAGCTGCCAGGGTGTGTTATTACTGCAGCCAACAAAGAATTCAATGAGCTGCGGCGTTTGGGGGTGAAGACGATATTTTATTTGTATTTTCTTTGGGTTATGATCACAATCAAGCGGCATAAATCAGTTTATTCTCATCTAAGTTCCATGTTGGATCCTCGCGTTCTGATACAAATAGATAAATCAATGTGTTTAGTTCATTTTAAATCATCGAGAGTCCAAATAACCAGGAAAACCAGTGTGTTGTTTAACTACACGTATAAATAAATATATATATTTTTTAATTGGATTTTACAGCTAAAAACTGTTAAAATAGAAGTCCCTGCGTTCCTTACAGGAATGCATATCACCCATCTCATCTTATATTGAGAAGTCAAAACATTATAAACGAGCTCAGCTGTGTCGAGTGATCCGTTAGTGCTTGAAGTCTTCACTGGGGGCGACTCTCAGCTACTACCACACAAGACTGTGACTCTGTATAACTGACTGTTATAGCCTTTTTGTGTTTGCTAAGATTGCTTTGCTTTAGCGGCCATGTTGAAACGGGTCGACTCTGAATGTTATTCGGGTATGGATGTACATCCTGTGATTATTATCCGAGAGTGAACCAGTGGTCCAAGAGATATTTAGCTAACAGTACAGCCAAGTGAACACAGACAGACGTGAGTAAAAACCAGGTCATGCTCAAACATTTCACCTGGTAAAATAAATGTAAAACAATAAAAAAAAAAAAAACTATTGCCGTGGTTTGATCTTTGGTGGCGGGTGACAAAAAAAAAAAAATCAGGGATGAATTTAGGGATTGACGTAATTTTACCGTGTTTGTATTTTTGCTGCAGCACTGAGGTGACCTGCAATTTTAAACCTAATACGATGAGCACAAATCAAGACATTTACAAATAATACTTGTGAATGGAAAACAACAGATCAATATCTCAGTGAATAGTTTCGCTTCAGCTGACAATATCGATCCCACAGGAAGTGAGTAAAAGGATCAAAACGATAAAGCTGACGGCCTCAACGATCAGTGTCTAAATTAAAATATTAAAAATGTTTAGAATATAGCTGTGAAAAGTATTTGCCTTTTACTATTGTTTTGTTTTTGGTTTTTCCCCACACTTTAAACTTTCAGATCAAACAAACGTTAATATCAGACTAAAGATGATTTTATTATTTTAAAGAGTAAAATGATCCAGACCAAATGGACTTTATGTGAAAAAGTAACTGCTCCCCTTTAAAAAACATAAAATGACTTGTTTTATTTTGGAAAGCTGAGTTCAGTTTCTGTATAAATAAAGGTCTAATAATAATTATTATTATTATTGTAAGACCTGCAGAATCAAGAAACCCCTTAAAAAGAAACTTTATCCACAAGTGGAGAAAACCTTGAACAGTGAACCTTCCCGACCATCGAGCCCACGACTCATCCACCACGTCCCAGAAGAACCAGAACAACAACAAAGCCCTGCAGAACTCCTGCTTCAGTTATGGTTCATGATTCTACAATAAGAAAGAGACAAAGGTCAAAAACGGTCTCCATGGGGGAGTTCAGACCAAAACCATCGCCGAGCAGAAAGAACACAAATGTTTGTCTCACGTTCAACAACCATCTCCACGATCCTAAGACTTCTGGGTAAATACTCCATGGACCGACAAGAAGAGACGCATCGAGTTGCATCTAAAGCTGCGTTTTAGAAAAGCTTCAGTCAAACACGGTGGTGGTAGTGTGATGGTCTGCCATTTGTGATGGAAGCAGGAATTCTGCTCTCTGTCACAAAACCCTGAAGGAGAAGTTCTGTCAGGACCACTTGGGTTCTGCAGCAGAACAATGGTTTGAAGCTCAATGCAGCCGAGGGTGGAACAACCAGGGAGCAGGTTCACTTTAGCTCCGTTTGGACCATTTACAATCAGCATTTTGTATTTGTTTATCTAAAACACGTGAAAACAAACGAAAACATGAGGACTCTGTAAAAAGGTGAACAGGTTTTCAGTGCTGAATAAATCTGCAGCGTCTAATTCAATCCAAGCTCGAGTGTTTCAGTGCAGCTGTGGCTGCAGCGCTCAAATGAGTCCAGAAGATTAAAACCAATCAGACCTCAGTTTGGATCTGCTGCCTGCTAGCACCAGCTGTTTAGAACACCCCCCCCCCCCATCGGACCTCGTCCTTCCTCGCAGAGCTCAGGTCGAAGGAGGACGGAGAATTGTAACAGATTTAGCTAAAGTGGCTTATGAGGCCCAACCAAAGTGCAAAAAGCAAATCCAATTGAACAACCTCGCTGTCCGCGGGGGACACGAGGCGGCTGGAAGCAAGACGGCAGAGTTTGCATTTCCATGTCGAGTGAACACTTCACAGAAATGAGAAAGACAACAGGAAACGGTGGATTCTCCGCTTCCGTCTCCCCGGAGAGCATCGATGAAAGGAAGAGGAGAAGAAGCAACCGGGGGGAAGGAGGGACGAGTGTTTGCACTCGTGTACGGTTCATTTCTCTCGTGTGGATTGGCTCCTCATCACAGCGATGTGTTTAAAATAAAGAAGCAGGCGGTGCAGGAACTCTGACCCTTTCATTTTCTCACTGCTCAAACTCTGCTGGCTCGCTCACTAACACCGTTTATTACATTTACTCTGATTTTCTTTATTAAAAATCCACGAGGTCGCTCCATTCTTCAGTCTTTAACGTGTTATCTTTGACCATTTCTACAAACCTTCCAGTGTCTTCATCTGTCCCTGTCGAGCACCACTTGTTTTATTCAATCCTGTTAATTTGCTCTCATTCATTATTCATTTACACACTCACTCTTTCTGTTATTTGTCCAATCACTCACCCCCCCACCCACACACACACCCGGTGTCCGCCTCTCCTTTTACTTTAATTTCGTAGAGACCCAGAGGAGAAAGTGGACCCCACCCCCCAAAATCCGAGGCTGCTGGTTATGTCGCCTGTCAGAGCCACCAGGAGCAGCTCTCGTAAAAACCTCGACCGTTTTTCTCCTCCTGACACCCACTTAAAGAGATAGCCTGGCTCAGCACGGCACAGCCCCCCCCATGACTTTGTCTTTTAAATATCCACCTTGTCGGGAGGAAGAAGTGTCGCCTCTGAAATGTGAACGATTATCTTTCAGGCAGATTCAACTCTCAGAACAGGGTGGAATAAAAACCTGCCGTCTAACCCCATTTTTGTTAGTTTATATTATATTAAGAATATTAATATTATTGATATTTAGATATTAGAATATCTAATAAAGGATATTTCTGTGCATGTGAGAAAACCTGAATGGGTGAATCCTTTCAGAAAAACATGAAATGATTACAGCAGCACAAACTATAATGATGATATTGATTTTGCTGCAATTGATTGAGGCAGTATTATTGTGGGGTAATAATGGGGAGAGTGATTATTGACAAGTATTGACTGATAGATTCATTTAAATCCCATCAGTAATCAGCCAATTAAACTCTTCAGCAGCTTTTGTTGACGAGAATTTGTCTCTTTTCTGCGTCACCAAACTTTCTCCAACTCGGCTGCACTCCTGTTTTCCCAACAGTCAGGGATCAATACGTCCTGATCGATAGATGACCATGAATATCACCCCCCGATCCTGACCGACAAAGACTGAGGGAGAGGAGAGGAGACAGATGGAATAACCGGGATGAAGCTGGAGTAAGTGACGGATGCTGATGAGCAAACGCTCAAGCATCTATTTGGAGATTTTTTATTTTTTTATTTTTACACATTGGATTTTTATTCAAGTAAGTAACTGACTTAGAAAATTATTCTTATTTTTAAAAAAGCTTTTAAGTTAAAAGCTAAACTTAATGTTTCTGTTTAATAAATTAATTACAATTTTTTTTAATTATTACAAGTTCAGAGGTGTTTATTTAAATTGTAGACAAATAAAACAATTTAATTTGACAGAAACATTTGAAAGGAGCTGCAGATTATTGTGAAATTATTATTTTATGTGATTTGATGACAGAAATGTTTTGTGTTTTAAATGTTAATCAGGGACAGAAATAAGAAGTGAAGCCGTGAGATGGAGCAGCTTACCGGGGCTGGTCCGCGGAGCCAGCGAGGACTTGAGTCTCCAGGCGCTGAAGTCGGACGCTGTTCTCTGAAAGACGAAGGGGACCGGCAGGGGGACAAACATGGTCCTCTGTCGACCACCAGGTCGTTGGATTGTTTTCTACTTTCACTTTCTTCTCCTCTTCCTGCTGCTGTTCTTCTGGCCCGCCTTGGTTTGGTTCCCAGGTTTGTGCACAGCCGCTGGTCACGCTGAGGAGCTTTAAGACAAAGTTGGTCTCGGTTCTGGTGGATCTGGACTCAACACATTTACATGTCTCCACTCTGGGATGGTTTGTTCCTGTTCTGGATCAGAAATGAAGCTGCAGCGTTCATCCACAGGCTGCAGCAGCTGGAGGAGTGTTGGACGCTGCTGTTATCATCGCGCCGGCTGACACGCTCCACTGGACGCAATTAGATTCAAATGATCGCGTGCATGCGGCTGTGCGTAAAGACCTCAGCGTGTCCGGCTCTCTGTCTGCTTTGGTTTGATTTCTCCTCCTGTTCGGACATGAAAAGTCTCAGATAAACACTGTCCACCCGTGAACCCTTGAAACAAACAAACAAAAAAAAGAGTTGCTCCGTTCTGGTGCAGGTTTGGTTTGGAGCTGCTGCTCTGCTGATCACGCGCACAAAGCGCCCGGTAACGAAACGATGACAAATATTTGCGTAAAAAGATGGAATAAATGAAATAATAAAGTAAGGCTCCACCGTCAGCCCCTCGCTCCTCCCTCTCCTCCTCACGGTCTCCCCCTCTTCCTGCCTCTCTCTAGCGGGGGTCACTAATTAGAGCCGGATCGATGGAAATAAACGACAGAATCCATTTCAATGAACCGATCCGTGCCGGGCTGAAGAGGGCAGGAAACAGGAAACCCGGGTCGTTTCAGGCTGAGGTGGTTTTTCTTTGGCTCTCCATCCGCCGGGGGGGGGGTCGCTTCTTCCTCCACGGTTCGGTTTGTTCTGGGAACCCCAGTGGTTTCGGTCCGACGCCGCGCAGCCTGGACGCACTCTGGCACGGAGGAGCGCTCGGAGCGGGAGGTGGACTGAGAGACACCCCCTCCCTCCACACCCCGCTTTCTTCTTCTTTTTGACCCCCCTCTTCCCTCCCCTTCCTGCCCCCATCACCCCAGCGCACACCCCCACCCTCTGCGTCCCCCCTCATGCTCGCTCTGTTTAAAGATGCTCACGCGACAGACACACTTCTTTAATCCTGAACGGACTCATTGATCATCTGATTATTTCATTACAATGAAGCCAATAATCACATCATGGCCTCAGAAAGATCCATCCCCTCCTCACGATGTGCACGAGTTCAGAGGGTGCGTGCGTGTGTGTGATGCATATTTCAGCAGGTGGATCTGCCTCGTGCCTCCGGGCCGCACAAGGTCACCTGCACGTCTCATGCACTTCTTCTCCTCAGAGAGGCGGGTAATCAAAGCACGCGCGGTCACGTGCCGGTGCTAAATTAGTAATTACGCAGGGCTCCGGGAAGGCCACGTGCGCGTGTGCGTAAAATGTCAGCAGCGGTGCATTTAAATTGCATGCTTTCCCCCCATTAAGGCTGTGTCCGAGGAGGTGCCTCTCCTCCTCCTCCTCCTCTCTCACGCGCCGCGTTTACACTCCAGATTATCACCAACATGGATTTTTTTAAATAGAAAAATCCATGCGCTAAATATCGCGGTCAATGCGCGAGAATCGACCAGGAGCGCGCGCGCTCCTCTCCATCCACTCCGAGGTGAGACTGAGCTGTTAATAAGTTATCGATCAATTATGGCGCTCATATAGTTACAAAGGCCTCGGGCTCCGTGCCAATGCTAACGTGCACGCGGGGAGAGGAAGGGAAGCCACCAGCAACATGGATGATCATCAGGAGCCTCGTGCTTAAACTTCACTCCTGTGCAACAACTAAAGTCCGGATCACAAAAAAAAAAATCACTGGATCAGCAGCTGGGAGAAGCAGCAATCTGAACAAACTCCCCTCAAATTATTACATTTAATCATTGGACGGATTCAAATTATTACATTTAATTATTAGACGGATTCAAATTATTACATTTAATTATTAGACTGATTCAAATTATTAGACCTCTTCATTTTGAAACTTGGGTAAAAATGATACAAAACCAAATGATGGGGCAACAAAGTAAAACAAAAAACAAATCAGGTTTTCAGTGCAAAACAACATGTTACAGTTTTACTTGATAATATTTGTAGTACAATGAAAAAAGCAGCTCAGAAGCTGAGACGGTCTCTTTTTATGTTACAGGTTTTATTTTGGTGGTTTTAAAGCATGAGAGGAGCTGCACTGGAAGTAGAGTTTTGGTCAAAGGCACCAGAGACGTCACCTTGTAGCAAGAAGGTTGCAGGTTCAAACCCTTCGTGTGGCGTTTACATGCTCTCCCTAGGTCCTCTGGTTTTCTCCTAAACATGCATGCTGGGTTAACTGGATCTCAGTGTCTGTTTGTCTCCATGTAAATGGTAAATGGACTGTAGCTCCTTTCCATCTTACCACTACACTCAAAGCTCTTTACAACAGTCTGTGCCTCATGCACCCGTTCATACTAGAGCTCTACAAAAACTAATCAGAGCTTCATCACATTCAGACACTGATGGGACACACATCAGAGGCAATGAGGGGTTCAGTGTCTTGCCCAGGGACACTTCAGCACGTGACTGTTGGAATCGAACCCCCAACTATTGCATTGGAGGACGACCGCTCTAACCAGCCACAGCTGCCCCAGTCCTTGTGATGGACTGTTTAGTGGTCCCCGCCTCTCCTCCAATGATCTTTGGACATGGACAACAGGCGACTAGCGGGGGCGTTGGTCGTGTGACGCTGTGAGTCACTGGAGGGACGGCAGCCATAACCAAAGAGGGTTGGAGAGATTGGCCAAATATCTAAATATCTATAATATAAGAGCAGATTATGTACAATTTATTTATGATAATATTAATATAATAGAACGTACATATAAGCTAATGTATATAAAAACATATATATTTTTGTATTTTACATCACTTTACAATGTAGCCGTTTTCGTTTCATTTTTTATATAATTTTTCTTCCATTTAATTCTTCAATTTACATGTTTTTTTTTAAGATTGTCTACTGTTGTCATCGTTCTTTGTTAAAACAAGTCTCTCTTGTAAATTCAACCTTTATTTAGACAGGTTAGTCTCACTGGACTCATTTACAAGAGAGACCTGATTTTGAGTCTCAATGAGACTAACCTGTGTAAATAAAAAATAAAGGTTGAATGAAAAATGCCACAAAGCTGTGTGTGACCAGCCTGGGGGGGGGGGGGGGGGGG